TTTGTGATTCCTGATGTCAGATTTGTGTCCATTTATCCTTTGGTGCAGGGTCTGACCTGTCTGCCCTATGTGGAAAACTGAAGAGCACTGTTGGAACATTGTTAGAAGATAAGCAAGTGAATGAGCCTGGGATGGTATAGTTAATGTTGTTAGGTCTAGTAACTGTGTTGTCTGGGTGTATGCGGCAACACAGTTGGCATCTGGGTTTATTGCAAGCTCTAGTACCAATGTCCATGTTCAAATCTGATGTCGTATTATTGTGGTTGAGGAGTTGTTTAAGACTGGGGGGCTGTCTGTGAGCAAGAAAAAACCTCACATGGTTACTGTGAGGGGTAAACGGAGGAAGGGAGAGCTATATATGGCACACTAAGGTCATTGGAGGAAGTCCAGGATAAAAATGTAGTAAATAAAGAGGCAGGACAACCTTGGAATACGTAGCTGAATGCCAACTCCTTGAAAACTTAAGACACTGAGACACTGCTAAGTATTGCCTACATGCCATTCACTTTCAGACGTCACCCTGCAAAGTAGTTGAGGTTTCCAGGAAAGCCAGATGTAGACAGAAGACACTTTCTACTAATAGTACATTAGGTTTAGAGTACAAAGGGTTTGCTCCCATGTGAGTAGCAAAAATTTCTGCAGTGATTCCAACGCCTGAGGATTTCACAGCACAATAAGCTAATTACTTCCCAGGTGTGCTTTCCACATAAGACCTTTCTGTATTCCACCCAAAACTGACTCAATGAAAAGGAGGGACTTAACTAGAATTCACAGGCCACACCCAATACTTTACTCACATTAATGAATAATCAACTGCAAATTTAACTTCCTCTGAACCACAGAGAAATCCAGCATTGAAAGCAAAGAAATGACTCCTTCCTGTTAGAATTATGAAGCCAGTTAAAGTTCATTTCAAAACACCAGTTACTAAACTAGCAAGAGATTAATGTGCTGCTATTTACAGCTATGCAGACTGAACACTTCCAGTATCAGAGAGGGCAATTCTTTCCTTTACATTTCTAAAAAAAGATTTGATGCTAGAGACTGTAAAACATTTTAAAAATTAGCTCCAATTCCACAGACCAAAATGGTTATAATACAATAATTTTTTCTCTAATAATGATTTGCATTTTTACTATTTGCATGAACTTAACAAATGTAAGATTCCCCAGCAGCAGTTTTTGGCATGTGAAGCCAAGATCACAAGCTGCTGAATTCAAACTTAGGAAGATGATTCACATGCTGGAAACAAAGCAATCTGAACAACATACTGAACCTACTTCCCGCAGCCTCCTCTACCCAGATTCTACTGCAATTTTCATTAGGCTTTTAAATGCCTCTATTTTAAATATTGACAGCTATCCACACATGCTACTGAAATGGAGAATAGTGAAAGGTACCCTCTGGCCTACACAGCCTTTCCAACAGCAGCTGCAAAACATCTATTCACACCATATTCTATATTAGAAACATTCACAGTACAAACATGGTACCCAAGTTCAAGATACACTATCAGAAACTGAACAAACTCCGGAGGACGGCGGAAGACAGGAGGGCCTGACGTGATGTCATCCATGGGGTCACGAAGAGTCGGACTCGACTGTCCGATTGAACAACAAAAAATCCCATAGCCTCTTGTAAGCTCTTTAGTTAAAGTTAAGTTCTTTCAGTTCATTAAGTACTATATTATTCCTGCTCCTTAAGACAGTGTGATGTAAGTAAAACACAGTTCAGCATACAAAACAGTACTTCAAATTCCTGCGTTTTAAAATCTGTATTTCTTTAAACTAGCATATTCATAAATTCCCTTTTTATGAAAAGCTTTCAAAAATGTTCACCCTTAAAGAACTGGAAGAACTGCCACAGGAAGTGGTGGCAGCTACAAGCATGGACGGCTTCAAAAGAGAATTAGATAAGCATATGGAGCAGAGGTCCATCAGTGGCTATTAGCCACAAGGTATAGATAGGGACTCTGGGGCAAGTGATGCTCTGTCATCTTGGTGCTTGGGGGGGTCAACAGTGGGATGGCTTCTAATGTCCTGGCCCCACTGGTGGACCTCCTGATGGCACTGGTATTTCTGGCCACTGTGTGATACAGACTGTTGGACTGGATGGGCCTTTGGCCTGATCCAACATTGGCATCTCTTCTGTTCTTATGTTCTTATTAACATAGTACTTAGTATAATGAACATACTTCTTTTTGCATCAAGTGATTCAGAAGATTGTTCACTTCCAGCTACTTCCTGGAAATGGTAAGGAAAGGCCTGCTGCAACAGGCAGTGACAGGCAGTTGCTTATGTAGAACTGCAAAAATTGCACTTATGGAAATTGCATTTTAGGACGGAGTTATTGTAGCAATACCCTATGTAAGAATTCTGAATCAACTAAGTCTTGCCTCTTTGTGCCCTTCCTATTTGCATGGTCAAGGTGGCACTGCCTAAAGACAACCAAGGATGAGAATGAGCTCTTTTTTAGATCATACATTTCATCAGTAAGAACAGACTGTTCTAATTTCCAGCTACAAAATCATTAAACCTGTCATCGATGAAAAATTCAAAATAAAGATATATGTTCTAGGAGGAAACCAACTCTTAGTTGGACCATTTGGACATTCCAATAGCAAAAGCCTTTTACCTCCCTCAAAAGCCCTGAGCACCAAGAGAGCAATGCCTTGCCAAAACAAAAAGGCCATACTGGCAGCTTCTGGCGAAGAAGGGGATCAGGCAAAACCGCCCCTCTTCCAACAGTGGGACATCTGCAGGATCTAACCCTTCGGGTTCAATTAAAATAAGGTCATCTAGACATGATAAATTTGAACTGTCTTGAGAATTTACTCATCTGCAACTCAAATGCCACATTCAAGTTCTCAGCTAAAGTCAGTTCACCATCATCTTCTCAACATAATCAAGGACATGCACATCCTGACACAAATTCAAAGACTGGTTGCACGTCTAACCCCCCACAGTCTGTTCTGTGCCCCAAGCCAGCCCACACACAACTGCACTGTTATCGACAGGCATAATTGCTGTTCCAGTGCAGCTGTCAGTCTGAACACTTGATTCCAGCTTCAAAGAGAATTTTTCCCCTCCATCTAAAAAAAGATCTAATGCTGATTAAGGCCAAAGCAGAAGTGTAACAAGCACTAGGAGAGTTACCAGTGCAGACAAACCCTAATTTTAGATGGCACACAGTGTGTTAAGAGAACTTCTCTACAACAGTATGTTTTACCACAGGCACTGTTCACAAATTTAACACACAAATGCATGGTAGCAGAAACCACAGGGGAACCCTATATTATAGTCTGCTTTCTTTCTCCCTGCTGTGTCTGATGCATTTCACCTGCTAGAAAAAGTATTACTATTTGTGATTAAGCTTAGCTACAACTCAGTCCAAGTTCTTTAGCTGTTCACATGTGCATAGCAAATCAGGAGTTCATAACCAATTCCTGAAAGAAAACTAACCCAAACTAAAAAATCTGTACCCATAATTTGAAATATTTAAAAAGGTTGACAGCTTTTATTATTATTTAACTTTCTTCTTTAACATATCCAGTAAGCAGGGCAAAATGCATTAACAAATCTCAACTTCTCCATTGCTTTTCAAACTAAAAAGGAGTACCTTTGTACTGTACATTTGCTATCAAATTTGGAAGGTCTACCACCTCAGCTTTAATACAGCAACTTGCTTTACACCATCACTGAAGAACTATCCAGCCATTCAAGTTAGCCTTGCAGGCAACTGCAAATAGTTTGCCAGCCACTATGCACATTTCTTATAGTGTGTGCACTGGATGCAGTATGAAGGCTAACAAGCAAAAAGGAACTGCCCATGAAAGACTATAAGGATCACATAACTCATTCACTAGAAGGGCATTTGTGCAATTTCTCTGAATTGCACATACACGTAGAGACACGATAGGGAACAGCCAATCGTTAGACAGCTGAATTTACTGTATAAATCCTTTTAAGTATTCATCTGTTTTTCAAACTCGCCACAGCATAATATAAATGCATAACACCTGAAAGAACACCAGTGTGTCTTTCTACTTCACTTTAATGCACATGAACAGCTGAATATTAGACCGCTTTACAGTAAACCAGGTGTATCGTTTTCCATAATGAAATGTAAAGGGAATTTTTTTCCCTCCAAATATGCAGTGATTGTTCCCTGGGGAGCTGCTATTACCCATAGTTCTCCAATGCACATTTTGGAGACGCTTCCCATTCAAGCATTTATTTTTACCACAGGAAAGCACAAGATTGCCTGACTGTAATGTTAAATGTAAAGATGGTGAGAGGAAGGGAAGAAAACCAATGAATAGTTCTAGGAAAGCCACTTCAGTAAACAGAATTTTATACTCAAGTTCATGTAGCTGAATATGTGGTACCAGGCAGAGACATTTTTGCACCGAGTGCTAACCTGAGGCCTTCCCAGCTTCAAGGAAAATGTTAATCCCCATTGCCATGAAAACACAAGTCTACATTTACAGGCTATAAAATATCCAAGAATCTTACAAGATTAACCTTTGCATTCTGTATGTGCTATACTTGCCTGCTTAATTATTTTTTTAACTCCATTGCCACATTATACAATGGACATTCTAACAGAATACATCAGTATTTTGTATGTATTGCCTATATTTTTTTCTCTGCCATTTTCAAATAGAATTCTATTAAATGGAATTTGTTGTTTTCGTCTGTCATTTTAACAACGAGCAGATGTAAATGGAAGGCCAAAGCTCTGAAAAAGGAAGCTATAAAAACCTACATCCAATTTCACAGAGAGCTTCTAGTTTACTTTGTCAGACAGTATGAATTAAAGAAAACAAAGCTTCCTAAACTGCCTTCGTAAAATGTTGTTCTAACACACCATTTACACAGTACCCAGGATCACGGTCTTTCATGAATGGCACGTGAAAGTACAGCCCTTTCCTCAGGACTGTCAACCTGGCAGCTAGGGAGTTGATTACCCAGAAAGGCAAGCCAGCAGCTTCCTATTACCTGCAGCTCGCACCAAGCGACTTCCACGGTGGTTTCCGTGTCCAGTCCCTTGTAGACCGTCTTGAAGGAGCCTCTGCCAATCTCGATATCAAACTTCAGAAAGCGACCGTCTGTGGAAAAGGCCACAGCTTTGGTCTCCAGCTCCTCAATATCCTCCTGCTGCCTCCGTTCTTCCTGTAGATCCCGGGCAGAAGCGACGGTGCTCCCCGCTGTGCTGGTAGGGGGCAGTGAGGTGGCCTCCAAGCCCTCCTCCTTAGCCAGTAGTGGGGCCACGTCCTTTGCTACCAGGGGCTCTTGACCAGTCTGCCCCTCTGCAGGCAGAGGCGGCTGCTGCAGGAGCAACGTGGGGGCTTGGCCGGTGGTGCCGGAGGCGCATGTGGCCTGGATGACAGACTCCGGAGGTGAGCCCAGCACCGGCGGGATGCTCCCTCGGCCGGCTGCAGCGGGGGGAGGCGCTGCGGGCTGCAGCCTGGGAAGATCCAGAGCGGTAGCATTGGAGTCGCAAATGACGCTCCGGCGGAAGAAGCGGTGCTCGGTGGCGGCCGCGCCGCGACTGTCCTTGTCCATGGTGTGGCGGCGCCGGAGATACTCCTCGTTGCGGCCCCCGCCGCCTTCCGAGCCTTCAGGGTCCGCGCCGGCGCCACCGCCGCCGCCGGCTGCAGCAGCAGCAGCAACCCCCAGCTTCTCGCCCACGGAGCTGTCCGAGCTGGAGCCGTTCTTGGGCGGGGGCGGCGGAGGAGCCAGGAACCGAGGCGTGGTGGTGGTGGTGGTGGTCGCCGCCGCCGCCGCGCCGCTGTGCTCCCCCGACATGGTGCCGAAAAGCAGGCGAAGGCGCCTCAGAAGTCCCTGCAGCGGGCTGACTCGAGGCGGTCAATGCGCGGCGGAGGAGGGTGCTGCAGAGGAGGCTCCCGGAGGCCCCTCACGGCGAGGAGGAGGAGGAGAGGATGCCGCCCGGGCTGCTGCTCCTCCTGCGGCGGCGGCGGCAGCTGCTGCAGTCGAGCGGGCTGGGCCGGCGGCGGCGGGGTGGCTCCTCGGTCAGTGTCCGCATCCATCCTGCGGTGACGGCGAGGGGCCGGGTAGCGGGGCCGATATGGGGAGAAGATGGGGGAGAGGAAGGAGAGACGGGGAGGGGAGAGGGAGGAGAGGCGGGGAGTGGGGAGAGAGCCGGAGGGGCGGGGCCGCGCGGGCGCTCCCTCCCTCTCGCTCTCCCCCCTCTTCCCTCCGCTCTCCTTGCCTTGGCCAAGTCAGTCAGCCAGTCCTCGCGGAGGGCTCGGGCGCGTCCTCGCCGTCGTGGCGGTAGCGGCTGTTGCTGCGCTCGGCGGGCGACGGAATCCAGCCAGCCCCCTTCCCCCCGTGGCTCTTCCCCCTCACGCCAAGCCGGGGCTCCCCCCTCTCCGCCGCCACTACCTCACTCTCGCGCGCTCGCTCTGAGGCGGAGGAAGAGGCCGCCTCCCTCCCCCCCTCACGCGCCGAGAGTGACTGGCATGAGAGGCAGGGAGGGACCAGCGACGAGGAGCAGGAGGAGGGGAGGGAGGAATCGATGAAGGGGAGCCGGGCCGGGTCTCGTCCGCCTCTTTCCCGCCCCGCCGCTCCTGAGGGGACGTGGGGGATGGGCCACTTACTGCCGCCTCTCCCAGGCTCTGGGGGGGTGCGGGGGGGGGAAGAAAAACTGTCCGCGCTAAATGGCGACTGAAGCCGAAACCGACACACTCGCACTCACAGACACAGAGCGAGAGAGGGAGACAGCCTCGGAGACCACGCCCCCCTTTTTCCCCGTCCGCACTCCAGCGCGCCTGCGTCAACACCCGCAGCCTTCCTTCGTAACTATCTGGGAGAGGTAGTTCGCGCCTCCCTTCGACGCCGGCCTGTGAAACGAGCAGAGCCGGCGCGGCCTACGTTTCCCATAGTGCACTGCGGAGGAGAAGGAGGGGAAGGAATGGAGAGGGAGCGTCGGGAGTTGTAGTTTTCCTTCGACGGGCTGGTTAGGAAGGGTTTTGGTGTGGGGGGGCGGTTCCGCGGCGCGTTTCACTACGCTGTATGAGAGTGCGTATTAAGACAGCGGGGAAGGAGCCATTATCTATGGGGTGGGGAAAGAGAAAAAGAGTTTCCCGTCATGCTTCGCCTTGTCTACTTTTTATTTCCAACATAAGTTGCGAATTATCTGGGGCGGACAGTGTACGTCTTCGTTTATTCAAACTGAGAGGTTTGTTCTCAGTTTTCAGTCTATTATTTTTTTCATTAAAAAAAAAAAATCTTAAACCGCGGGATTGGAATGAGGGTTCGAAAACTGTGCTTCTTAATAAAACACCCCAAATTGCGGTGACTTTTTAAAGCAGTTCGTGTGGGAACGTTGACCCAGTGCATATCGCCCGGAAGCCGAGGCTGCACATAGATCTCCATCCCTCTTTTGAGTATGCCACGATCGCAAGTTTGTTCCTCAGCAGCCATAACTGCCTTTCTATCCCGTGACATGTTCCTGCGGCTTCGCAGACGGCTGCCTGAACACAATGTGTGCCGTTTACATCCCATTATAAACGGTTGCACGTTTCCGCCTGTATTTTCGTAACTGCGAATTGCACCGAGTATCTGCGGAAAATAAAATGTAAAAAAATGAATGGTACGCGAAGAAGAAACAGCTTTGTTTAAAACCAAACGCTGATGCTGGGGGAAACGATCCGGCGAACATTGGAAGAGCAGGGGAAGGGAGAAAAATGCATGAAGAGCCCCTGGGATCAAACAGTGTGTCGCAACTTGCTGAAATTCTAACGTGTTAAAATCCAAGCAACTTGTATAATTTACTTGAGGGAAGCCATTATGATTTACAAGGTGACAAACCACACTGTTGAGTCAACAGTAGGCTACAGTCCTTACCGCATTCAGCCCTTAAACACACACACTTTCTTCCTTTTTCCATCAAATCTGTCTGTTGCAAGAACAAACAAACCCTATATGCATTGCTATTCTTCAGTTTGCTTTCAGTTGCTCCAATGCTCCTTGGCATGTTGTTCACATGTTGTCAGTGAGTCCTTGCAGTTCCAAGGCAACCGCTTATATCAACTCTTCTTAAGGTTCGCTTCACACTGGACTAAAGTCCTAAGTCTGCATGACTCCCACGTGTAGTACTTGTGTATATATAGCTATAGCTGCCAACAGCTTCCTGTTGCTTGTAGATATAGTGACATGAGTAGCTACACTATCGTCACTGGTGATAAACTACAGACGGAATTAATGCAATATCCTACACTACTATCTCCTACATGTGCAATATCCTACACATGATACAATATCCTACACTTGCCTTTATACTAGACAAAATGTGCAACCATTAATACATCTGCTATACGATATGAACTTCAGGAGTCAAATATCACTTGGAGATCTCTTAGAAACCCTTCAAATGAACATTTCAGTTGAAGTAGACACATCCCTTGGGAGATTTCTCAGAATCTCTACCACAGTATCTCCCACGAGTCACGTAACATCTTTTAATTTCACACAAAGGGAGTTACCATTGATGTGGTCAGATGCTGTCTATATTACATTTGACCTATTTCTGCTTTTTCAGTAGTTTGACATTAATTGGTCCTAGAGATTGCTTCACTATGTTTTCAGTGGGTTGTTAATATGTAATTTTCAGCCTGCCTTCTTGAAGGGAGGTAGTATAATGTTCAGTATTTATTGACTTCATTTATACCCCACCTCTCTTCTCCATGGGCACCCGAAACAGCTTACATCCTTCTCTCCTCCATTTTTCATCACAACAACCCTGTGAGGTAGGTTAGACTGAAAGTGAGCGACTGGCTGAAGGTCTCCTGGTGAGTTTCCATGGCAGAGTGGGGATTCGAACCTGAGTCTCCCAGACCCTAGTCCAGCCCTCTAACCACTGCACCACACTGCCTCAGTATGACAAACGGTGTTCTGTTGCTTTTGATCCCCACTGTTTACAATTTTTTAATTAGTTCCCAGGTATACGTACATCTGCCTACTGAGAATAACATTTCATCTGCCTGATGTAATGAGCTTCAGTCCACAAAAGTCTGTGCCATAATAAACTGTTAGTCTTTACAGTGTTCAAGAACTCTTTGGACAAACTAACACAGATTACCTTCTGAAGTATGAGAACAGAATTTGCAGCAGAGGCTCTGAAGAAACTGAGGCTGTCCCTCATTATTTCTTCAAATTTAATGTGAAAAACTCCAGAAAAGAGTCCAATTGGTCCCAGTTCTTGCTGAAACCCAGCTATTGGCAACGACGCAGAAGAGATGTTTTCTGTTAGAATGCATCAAAGAAACTGTCACTAGGAAAGGGGCAGTGTTTAAAATTAGTGGCAGCTAAGCTTCGTAAGACCTTCACAAGAAGCAGTGGAAGCAATTTATATGAATGCAGATTCATTAGCAGAATTGCTAATTCATTGTTTTATTGGGAGTTTTTTGTCTGTGTAATTTGTGTAACAGATTTTTGTGTTGAATAGTTAATAAACTTTTAACCTACTTAGCTATTAGATGGTCCTCTTCATTATGGCTTGGTTTCAGGGTATCAAATATTTAGTACAAGAATCTATGAAAGTAGATTGAGATGAACTGAATAGACATTTCTGACTTTATTGCTAAAATGATACAACAGTCCATAGTTAAAGAGCAATGGTATCTAATCCTCATCCACACACATCTGGAACACTGCAAACAGGGAACAAGAACAGAGTTCCAGTACAACGTATATCTATGTATCCTTTCCTTTCTTCCTTTCTTCCTTCCTTCCTTTCCCACACAGGAGCAATCCAGTAAAATCAAGGAAACCATAGGACATTCATGAATAAGCAAAGATGTATGTTGTTTTAGGTGTTCTCAGGGCTGGCCGGAGGTGTTTCTGCGCCCTAGGCAGAGCACAGATGCCAACCTCCCGGTGGGGCCTGGAGACCTCCCAGCTCTAGAAATTAGGCCCCAACATACACACACACCCTCCCCAGGCTGCAAAACAGCAGGCCGATTACTGCTGGACTCTTGCAGTCAGGGCTGTTTCAGATTCCCAGCACTTTATGGGAGGCCGCCACCGCTCTCCTTCGGCTGGGCCAGTCAGCTCCCGCCGGTGCCCCAAAGTGTGCATGACTGAGACCCTCGGAGGGGGGGGGAGACGCTGAAGGGGAGCTCCTGAGCCTCTGGCACGCCCCGCGTGGATGCCTCCCAACCCGAGCTCAGTTCCGACACACTTCCTGGCCCCCTCGGAGCTGCGCCCTCGCAGGACGGGCCACGCCCTGGCTCTGTCGCAGCAGCCTTCCACGCGGGCGAGATGGCCAGGAGGCAAAAAGCTCTCGGCGGCCGGGGGGGTTGGCTGCTTGGCCGGGCTCTGCTCTGCTGCCAGGTGTGGCTTTGCCCATCTGCCGGCCAGCTCTTTGGACTTCCTCCTTCATTTCCCACCTGGTGACTCTTTCGGGGGGGGGGAACATGGCTGGCGGAGACCCTGGTTGGCCAAAAGATCCCAGCGGGCCGCTCTACAGTCCAGAGAGGCCTCTGAAAAGCAAGCAGGAAGAAAGAGCGATGCAAAGAAAGCCTTTCTTGCTATCCTAAACGTCGCAATGGTTCAAAAAGGGCTCCCTCACTCACCTTCTCCTCCAGCCTGTTTCCCCTGACTGGCTTCTGGGCCAAGCAGCACGGGATGGCCTCGGCCGGGCACGGTGGAAGGAGGTGGGCCACGCGAGTTCTGCCACAGATGAAATCATCAGGCCATGGGCAGGTGGGCGGCGGGGCCTCGAGAGCTGGATCGCCTTTGTCCTAGTCAGTCTGATGGTGCTGCCACACCGGTCAGTCTGCCGGTGGGGGCTGCTTCGCAGGGTAGCTGAGCAGGAGCCCTCGGGGCTGCAGGGTGGAGAAGTGCTGCCTGCCCTGGCCGTGCTAATAATGACCACCAGATTCAGCCGAGCCACCGCCGTGGAAGAGGGGCTGCAGGGGAAGGAGGGCAGCCGTGCATCCTTGGGCGCACGTGGTCTGGAGGCAGTGGAGGGAGAAACAAAAGAGGCGGTGGTCACCCGGTCAGGCTTTTGACGGGGGTTGGGGGGCTTTGCCGGGGGGGGGGGACGGTTCCTGCTCACACCCCTAAGGTCCTGCCCGCGC